CTACCCATGCAGATACAGCGATCTAATTCCACAATATCAAGAGCACAATCACAGAATAACTCAGTGGAACAATACACTGCTGAACCCTCCACTTCTTGAAAACTATGCCCGTGCGATACAATTAAAAGGAAGTCCATTACCAAATTGCTTTGGCTTCATAGACAGAACAATAAGGCCCATTTGTCGACCTGATTAAAATCAGAGGGTCGTTTATAATGGACATAAACGAATGCATAGTTTCAAGTTCCACTCTGTTGTCTTACCTAATGGCATGATAGCCAACATGTACGGCCCCGTGTGTAATTGATTTAAATTGATTAGTTGCTTTTTCTTTTTTTCTTTTTCTTGAGGTTGAGATTTGAAACTGTGTACCCTCACCTCAGGTAACTAATAAACCATTTAAATGCTGAAACAAGTTTTCACAGCAAAATCAAAGATATTATGAATATCTTTATCAAAATTAAGCCAATTTTGTTTTTCTAAGGTAAACATCTGCTGAAAACTTTGCATCTACTCGAGTTGCTACTTAGTGTGTTCCTCCAAGACTTTTATCATATCCTGATATTGTTTTCTTGGTCGATCTTCCCGTTTACCCTCAACTTCAACTCGTTACTTTTGCAGCTGCAATTCTCCTTCTTTCCACTGCTGAACGCGATCAATTTTTTCACGCAAATATGCAATTGTGTCACCTCCACTTCTACGGCTTTTTTTGCTTTGGTTTCACTTCCTCCTCCTCTTTATTCCGCTGCCTCTCCTGTGTTCCGCTCAGGATTTCTAGAGCCTCTGTTTCTCGTTTCCGCTCCTTTTGCGTTGTCAGTTTTCTTCTTATCGTTTTCTATGGTGTCTTCAGCTTCAGCTGCGGCTATTTCTTCCAGAGCCTTTTCCAACTTACTCAAATGACATTCAATTCCATTTGCCTTCTCTTCTTCTTTCATCTTTGTTTTAAATTTCTCGCTCAGCAATATGTATCTTTCTCTAACAGCACGCTCACTGACTTTGAATCTGAAAAACTAAAATAATATCTAGCTTCAGCGATTTTTTTCCTTAAACAAACTCGGGTAAATTATCTAGATTAAATTCCTGGTTTAGTTTTAATATTCATTACGAATATGAACTGAAAACAACTTACTGGACTGTCTTCTTTGAACTCGTCTCCATTTAAGCCTATTTGAGTCTCGAACTTTTGAAGCTGTTTAGGAGGAGAAAGAAACTTCGGTCAGTTTTCGTCTTTAAATGAGTTCTACAACCATTTACATTTGTCTCAAGTTAGGAAAAATGTTGACAGTTCATTATATATTGAAAATAAACGATAAGTTCATTTGAAATGACCTTAAAGTAAGAGAAACTTACTTACGTGTTAGACAAAAGACAAACACTTCGTTTTGACGTCGCAGACAACACAGCTACGGCGGGAAACTTCGCGCGCCGGCTACCGGAAATGCGCGAGCAAATATTTTAAACTTCCGCTCGCCGTCGTCCCTAAAGTCCCTAATTGCGGATCAGTTTACGTCAATCGGTCGGACCCTACATTTATTAGGGTTTTCAGCCAATTCAGAGGCTTTCATCCACTATTTCGCCATTATTGATGAGTAACACGTCAATGTTGCGTCCGTTTGAACTGGGCATTTTAATCGGCCACCCACACATGTACAATGTAGCCATTCAGAGTATGGAGTTACCGTGTTTTTGGACCGAAATCTGGCAGCTTTTGTCCAATAGAGAACAACACGAATCAGAATGGGATTATGATTTTGCATGTTAACCCCTAACTATCTCGAATACATAGAGATTATTCCATGGAAGGTGCGTGCGAACGATTTTTATTCACGGGTTGCGATACACCACAAAAAATGAACAAGTGAGCGCAGCGGACGAATAAGTATTTTGATGCATCGCACTTTCCATGATATGAAGTTTTTATTTCATTCATACTTTTCAACGACGAATGTGAAAGAAGACGAGTTTATCGAGCTTTTGACTTTTAAAATGTAATAGTGTTATCTATGGAACATCACTTGAATAGTGAAAGTCAAGGTAAAAAGTGTTTGTAGAGAGACCGCCTAAAAACGCAAAATTCAAATATTAAGATATGGATGCTGAGTATTTGAGGTTGCCTACGACGTAGCTCTTGTGTTTGTCTACATTCCTCTTTAATAAAGAGTCAGTGTAATCATCTGAAATATTTAACGTTTAGTTCAAGTTCAACTCCTGAGGAGGACCATACTTGAAAGCATACATATGATGTCATTGTTTGTTCTTAGCCTTGCTCTAATGGTTTCTCAGAGTGGAATTTTGTTGGCTGAGTTTCCTTTTCTAAAGAAGAAATTGAATCCACCAAAAGTCACAAATCATATTTAGCTCAAAACCTGTGCAGGGTTGTGTAAGCAGGCGAAGACGAGCAGCGGTGATCCTGATTTCTATCGTTGCAGTCATACTCCCCGAAATTGTCTTCCTTGTCGATGAGTCCTCCTGCTCCTCCATCAAATTCACATCCCCTCTCAATGCTATCACAAACCCTTATGTGCCAGGATGCCTCCTCTTACTTTTTCAATTTTTGTTTTGCTCTTCAATATAAGGCAAATACTGCCACCTTTCTATCACTCTAAACAATTAAACTAGAAAAGACCAGAAACAATGAAAAGAGCTCGCCATGAGGTGTTTTTCATCGAGAAAGATCGACACTTACAGTTGGATGTCAAAGCTTGTTGTCTCCACAATTAGAAGGGAAAAAAAATTGACCACGGTATTTCCGTATGTTTCCAAGGAGAGTTGAGTGTGATTCAGTTGAATAGCCCTTTTTTTCTTTTAGTCCTCCTCAGAAGTGTCTTAAAAGCTAAAAAAGGAGTTTCACCTTTTTTTTTTTTTTTTTTTTTTTTTTTTTTTTTTTTTTTTTTTTTTTTTTTTTTTTTTTTTTTTTCTTTTTTTTCTTTTTTTTCTTTTTTTTCTTTTTTTTCTTTTTTTTCTTTTTTTCTTTTTTTAAATTCATGGGAGGATATACGTCGCAATGTGTCTTTTAATTATCTTTAGGAAAGTGATCAAAAAAAAAAACAAGTAATTTCACAACAATAAGCGGTAGAGAGCAGAGACAGACAAAAGAGATCGCCAATAGCCTTTTAATCTTTAAATTGTCTTTCATTCAGAAATATAGATACTTTCAGCTAGCTGACAAAACTCATTCTCTCGCTATTGAAATTTTTCCTTCGTTTCCATAGAGGAATTGACTTTGCTACAGTTAAAAGAGGTAGTTGAACACGAATTATGAATGATGGTCGATCCGGCTCCAGCTCTTTATTTTCGGCTAAACTCTCTATAAAGGAGTTCACAAATGCAAAGGTTCGAAAACTGAAAAACAGTCCAATTGGAAATTACGTCACTCAACCTCCTTACTTTTGTATCCGCCACCTTTGATGATATTTCGACTGGTTTCTTTTAGGTTATTTGTACATTAAAGGAGCTGAATGTTTGAATGACTTTTTAAAGCATTATTAGTACGCAAAGAGAAAAAATAGTAAAAAAATTTAAGGAAACGGTACAGAAACACTCAAATTTAATTTACACTATGCACAAAACTAGTGTACCTGGTTGGCACAATGTCGTTTCTCAAAAAGCGCTTCATCTTCATCCCTTGGGTCTCCATCATGCTTTTAATATGGACAAGTTTTGCATAATTCTTCAAATTTTGCTCAACAAAGCGACGTTTACGGCCAAGTTGGATCGTTAAGATCGGGTCTTTGTCTGCAGAAAAATTTCATCCATTTTCCTCTCACATTCGGGACCGTTCGGGAACTGAAACATTCTATGCCCAATGCCGGAACGATCCATTCTGACAGCTTTGCTGATCAGAGCCAGGGCACCAGCAACACAATATTGCCCTCGTTGCCGAATTCGACTGAATTCGATTTTATGTTACCAAAGTGACGTCAGCGGTTTTTTTCTCAAATGGTACTTTGGCCGCGCAATTCGAATACCATTTTTGAGGGGAAAATAAGATGTCTCACATTATGTACAACAATCTTTACCGGTGTTTCTCTTGACAAACACCTGCTCCAACTACAATACCTACTTCATCTCCTACATTTTGAATATCTCAAAAATTGTTTTAAGAACAAATGTGCATTGTTATAAAATAAGCAGTGATCCTAAAGAAGCACTTAAGTACCTTAGTCCTTGTGAAAGAGAAGCTGTTGAGGGCGTCTCACAGTTATATATCGAGTCCCTAATATTAAAATCAAGCAAAACTGTACATATTTATCACCTAGGAGAAATTACTAACATCTCTCTGCCACTAAGTAAATACCATTTCTCCTCACTGTACGGATTTTTTAAAGCGAAATCAAGAAACCTAAACTTCAAGCTTGTTTTACAAATGATCACACCAACGAAGCTGAAGCTAATTTTCCGTTATAAGTAAAGAAAAAACGGTTGATTTACCGAGTCAAGAAAATGTCGCCTTACGACGAGGAAACATGTCATTATTAAATTAATAGCCGTACGGAGTTATTTAAACATCTCTGAATCTAAACACAAGCATTTCAACCTACGACTACTCACTTGCTTGAAAATAATTTGCATAAATCAACTAATGGTGAGCTCTGAATGCGTTTTCAAAGACGAATATAAAAAAAGGCCAATTTTATCGACCTTTCACTTTTAAGATGTAAGTGTATTATCTATTGAACATTACATGAAAAGATGAAAGTGCAGGTAAAGAGTGTTTGCACAGAAACCGCCTACTTCCTTCAACTATTGAAATATGGACGCTGTGTATCTAAGGTCTAAGGTTGCTTAGGACGTCACCCTTGTGCATGTCTGTATTCCTCTGTGACAAAGGGTCAGTGTAACATCTGAAATATTAAACGTTTGGTTCAAGTTCAACTACTAATTGGACCACACTTGGAGGCACTTGATGTCATTGTTAATTCTTAGCCTTGCTCCGATGTTTTCCTACTTTCAGTTGGCTTTCTTTCCTCTTCTGTGAAAGGAAATAAATTCGCAAAAGGTTAATCGTCACATTTAGCTCCAAACCAATGCTGCGTTGTAGAAGCAAGAGAAAACGAGCAGTAGTGATCCCGATTTACGAAACTTTTATCAAATTTTCCGAAATTTTTTTCACGGAAGACTGCACCTAGTTTTCCATCAAATTCACATTCCTCTTCTATGCTATTGTAACTCCTTATGTGCCAGGACACATTTTCCTCTTGTTTTGTGAGGGCGGTGCAATTAAAACAATAGATTCCTCGGATATTGACATATTCATACATCTGGCAGGTGTTCCAGATACCAAAAATGTCATGACCTGCCAGCTTAGCGCGTGCGTAGTCCGTATACTGCAGACCATCCGTAGAAAAGTTACAAGTTGCTCTCAGATGTGTGGAGTGATTAGCAAGAGACTGCATCTGTGATAATGATAGTCGGAACTCGTTCCAATTTACTTCCCCCTCTTCAATATCAATCTCAAGGTTTTTGCCAAACCCTGCATAACTGAAGGTATTTCTCTTGGAAAAGGAAAACGATTGTATTAACGTCCATGCAAAGCCAGGTTCAGACTGCAAGTCACAGTAAACAGAAAACCGTTCATTGTCTGAATTTGAGATGTCGTATTTTCCTGATGTCGAGGCACCGTTCTTAGCTACGTCTTTGCAGCTTCTCGGATGTTTGATCTTCTCACACTGCTGACCAGAGTATGTGTTAGGACAGGTACAGTTAAACCTGGTGCTGTGAGTGTCACAAATCTCCCGACATACCCCTCCATTGAGACAAGGATTGGTGAGGCAACATCTGTTAATGCAATGATGCTTCTCTGGTGTGTATTTGTCTCCACCCTACAGCAAATTCAAAGGATGTTTTAGCTCACCATTCTCATCGAATTGGGTTGGCATGTGCGTTTTAGCAACCATTGACAAATCTCACCGTAAACGGATCGAATCGATAACAAACAGTGCGAGCAAAGTACGTGTGCCTACAACACATAGCGGGGTGCCATGAAATGTCCATCAAAATTAGATTTAAAATGCAATAAGCTAAGACAGCAATGGTTAAGTCAATGATGTCTTTATGCAAATTGTTGTCACTTCTGTTCTACCGTTCCCTTCGCATTGCAACATGGCCGTTAAGAAAAAAGTTTGCGAGAAAGAGAATGAACCCAATCCTCTCTTAGCCAAATCAGTTTGTTTTGGTTTTGTCTAGACCAATCATATCGCAGACAAAACGATATCCACAAAATTGTCTTTGGCCCAGACTGACATATAACACACCTTTTTTTTTAAGGAGTACCGCAAAACTTGATCATGTAGAAATATTTATTTTATTTACGAACTTGAACATCTTGGGATATTTACTTTGTTCACGAAAGTTCATAAATAAATAAGTAAAACATTAGATAAATAATCTTATCTCACCTTCACCGTGTAGCTTCTCACCAAATCATAATAATTTCCCCCTTGCCTCCATTTCATCGCCGCTGGCTCCATGTCTTTGTTAGCGTCGTTGAGCTCACAATTGTTTTCTTTGGACAGAGGGAAATAATTCATGGAAATACACCGGCAGTCATCTTTGCACTTCAAGTGACACTGGATGGCGTTTGGGACTGTCAATCTTTCAACCACGTGACCCTCAAGAATTTGGTTATGGATGACATCGTCATCGATAGCAAACTTGAAGTTTTGACAAGTTACTTTTTTCTGTGCCTCAGTGGAGAGGGTCAAATTGAATACAAACAGCACGACTTGGAGATATTGTACGATGCCCATAGCAATAGCACTATTAATGTGAAGAAAAAAAGGATGACAAGCACGGGGTAATGTGAAACAAAATACATAGATATTTGGGTCTCCTGCTAAAAAGCGACCTACATTGATGCATTTTTTAAATTAACTAAGAAATTGTTTTTCTTAAAGCACAAACCGTAACATTTATCGTAATTGCAACGGATAGAAAATAATCGTTACTACAAATGCTAAGCTGATTTCTCTTCATTGTCTAGGTTACAATGGAGGGAGATATATTGGCAAATGGAACTGATATAAATAAATACACGAACCAGTAATTGCTGATTAAAAGTATGTCGGTTACAGTCACTTGAATGCCAAGCTAAATGTCGAAGTCACCCGCGACGAGCTTGGCGTCGGAAAAAATGTTATGCAAATTAGCTGGCTGCACATTTAATGTGCAGCCAGCTAATTTGCATAAGTAATTCAAGCCAAGGTTTGACGCCTCCTGGTGGCATGAGGTGTTCAATGCACATTCCAGGACATCCGATAACCGCTATAATCCCCTTACATTTCTAATCATTTTCAAGATACAACTCTACTTTGTTCGCTCATTTTCCAGAAACAAGAGTCCAGAGAAATGCCTCATACAAACTGAATGGGTCTAATTAAAAAAAACCCAAGGGGCGGTACGCTAAGTTTATTTTCTCTATAGAGACAATAAATGTCTTAAAGAAGTCAACAGTAAATCGTTAACACAAGGTCCACAAATAGTCCTGACCAAATGTTACATAAACATATAACCGAAACACTTTAAAACACGTGAAAAAGAAGAAACTCAAAAATAGCCCCAAAAAGTGGCATCGGTAAAGCTGATTTCACCTCCATGATCGAAGACCTGGGCCAATCTAAGGCTAACTCCGACAAACCCTTCATTACACAGGTCATGGTTTTGAACTTTTAAAGTCCAAAAACCATGTTGATTAGATAATCCAGAGAATACACATCGCTTTCAACTGATGGTCTCCCCGTTCAGTCTACAAGCTTCGACGCAATGCAACTATTCTTCTAATGACCTTTTTGTGCGAAGGTTTTGGAGCGGAATTTTTAGCTTTACCGAAGACATCACTCTTGCCAAAATCGACTATAACAGGGGAGAAGCTGGTCTGAAACACCGTTATCGCATTTTAGGTCATTGTGAACAAATTCACACGTATGATTATCGTCTTACGCGTCTGCCATGTAAGGAGGGTAAAGCCTCAAGAGGGTATAGAAGATATTGAAAACAACCCTCAGGTATACACTATCCAAGAGGGTATAGAAGAGATTAAAAATAACCCTCAGGTATACACTACCCAAGAGGGTATAAGAGAGATTAAAAGTAACCCTCAGGTATACACTACCCAGGAAGGTATAAGAGAGATTGAAAATAACCCTCAGGTATACACTACCCAAGAGGGTATAGAAAAGACTAAAAATAACCCTCAGGTATACACTACCTAAGAGGGTACAGAAAAGATTAAAAATAACCCTCAGGTATACACTACCCAAGAGGTATAGAACAGATCAAAAATAACCCTCAGGTATACACTACCCAAGAGGGTATAGAAGAGATTAAAAATAACCCTCAGGTAAACCCTATCCAGTAGGGTATAGAACAGATTAAAAACAACCCTCGGGTATACACTACCCAAGAGGTATAGAACAGATTAAAAATAACCCTCAGGTATACACTACCCAAGAGGGTATAGAAGAGATTAAAAATAACCCTCAGGTATACACTACTCAGTAGGGTATAGAACAGATTAAAAACAACCCTCAGGTATACACTTCCCGAGAGTTATAGAACAGATTAAAAATAACCCTCAGGTATACACTACCCAAGAGGGTATAGAATAGATTAAAAGTAACCCTTAGGTATACACTACCCAGGAGATTATAGAAGAGATTAAAAATAACCCTCAGGTATACATTACCCAAGAGTGTATAGGAGAGATTAAAAGTAACCCTCTGGTATACACTACCCAAGAGGGCACGAAAAATTGAATTCACATTAATTTATATCAGGAGACCGCTCTCTGTCTGGAATAGTTCTTTTGACTGAAATTTGAGGCATTCACCGTTAACTTATACAATTATTATTCTTTACTAGTTCCCGAATGTCGTTGTCAAGCTCAGCTATTCTTGACAGACAAGAATCTTTGCAATTTCCCATGATATTTCGACTGGAGGCATTTCCCGCCTAAAGTATACGGTCGAGAGCGATTTGATTTACCGCATCAACAACAGGATTATATTTTGAGACCTCGCGAATCCATCTGCTGGAATTCTCCCTGTCTAAGTAGTCCGGCACAGAGACCAATTGAAGATATACGAACAGGTTGTTTGGTTACCTGCGATTTTTTTCGGGGCCAAAGCTCGTCAAATCTCAATGAAACAGCCGCTGCAATGAACTTTATCAAAAACTGACGTTCATGTATGAAATCGCCCAAGTTAGAGGAGTGTTTCTTGAAACGTAAAACTTTCAAAAGTTTCGTGTGTGTCCTTTACAAAAAAAAGCGTTTTGAAAATAAACAATGATAAAACTCGCAACTAACTTCCATCTCTTCTTTACCACTTGAGTACGATGCATCAAAACTCTCGGTAGAGCTTGCTGAAAGTAGGTATACATCGCTATCGGACATTATTTCAAGAGTATTTCAGCGCTGACTGTTAAAAGAGATGTGAGAGATTTGTAATTTTCACAGTTTTCTACGTCATCACTCACTAATTCGTTACCAGTACATGGGTCACTTTGGAGACAAAGTAAGAGCACTTTAAGGCCCGTAAAAACCTAGTTTTAAGTTTTTTTGACATTTTTCTTTTCACGGAATTGGTTTGTAGATATGATAAGCTAAATGTTTCAGCGAAGCAAAATTCGCGTAATAGGCACTTTGATAATTTATTTTTAATTAAGTAGGGAATTGCCATGGAAAGTGTCTGACGTTCATGTATTAAATAAAATCGCCTAAGTTTAAGGAGTGTTTCTTTAACGTAAAACTTTCAAGGTTTTCATGTGTGACTGTTAATTAAAAGAAAGCGTTTGAAATTAAAGAGAGATGTCAGAAGGTTTAGATTTACAAAACCGCAAAAAGAGAAACTCTACCTACCATCAATTGTTAAACGATCCTTTTTCAACGATGCACTTGATGAGTATCTATCCTCGACAGAATATTCTCTAATATTCATTGATATTTAAAGCGGATCGCATTTTATTATTTACCACAATATTTGAAACATTGATGAAGGTATTA